TGATAAGGTAAGAAAAAATTAATAATTAATGATGCTGTTTAACAAATTCTACCGAACAATAGTATTTTACAAAAAAAAAAAGTAGTTTTAAAGTAAAAATTATATTAAATTATAAAATATTAACTATTAAATAATAAAAACTCCTTACAAGAAACATTAATTTTTTTATTTTCAGAGTCAAACCATATTGAATTTTATCAGGAAAAATTTTCTTAAAACTTATTTTTTCATTTATAATACTCAAACTTAAAATTTTATTTAAAAAAATTAAATTCCTTCAACTTAAACTAATAGATAATTAATTACTAATTTTTTATTTAATAATTAATATTTTACTTTTATAATTATAAAACACCAAACTCATTCACAACTACATAATGGTCCTCAAGATTCTTTTAATGATAACCATTTGTATCCACAACTGTGACAAGGACACAATGTGACCATAGTCCATTGTGCTTCCTTCTGGGTCAGTGACAAAAAGAACAAAAGTGATAAAAAAAGTTGATGTGATGCTGTTTTGAGGGCTTTAGTTATGGAAACAGTTAAATTTATTAGAATAAAATAAATTATTTAAATTTTATTTTAGTTTAATTATTATAAATAATTAATAATTAATAAAATAACTAATACTTATTATTTAATATATTAAAATTAATTTATAAATAAATATTTTTATATTTTAATTAATTATAAAAAAATATAAATTAATAAAATATCATTCAAATTTATACCATTCACAAAATTATATGTGGCCATGATACATCCCTATTTTGAGGTTAAAAGATGGTCGAGTAAATTTAAAAAACGTCTTAAATGTTTAAAGTTACTTACAAAATAATCATAAAACCTTTGGAAATGACAAAAATAATCTCACGCATTTCAAAATGATGTCAATTTGGTCCTCTCCGTTAATTTGAAGCGTTAACAAATACAGTTGAATAAAAAAAAAAAATTAATGGAAGTCGTAAAATTGTAGATTTTTTATTAATACGGAGTGTTGAACTTCCTTCTTGAATGCGTAGCAAACTTGCAACGCACCATACACAAGCAGTCTTCACTCTGAGAGGCAATGAACTCACGGCAATGGCTGGTGGTTCAAAGAAACGGAGGCGAGGTATGTATTCAAATGGGATTGGAACCCTTTTAAGTTTCTCTTCAATTTGTGGTTTCTCATTCAATTGCTCTCTGAATTTTGAAATGCCTTTTTCCTGTTGGGTTTCAACAGTTTGTACCCAAAAGAAATTGACCATCTTGTTTTTCTATTTTTTAGTTTTTTAGTTGAGAAGAAAAGGGGGAAAAGGAAACACGAAAAAGAAGGGATTACTCCTTTGAATGTGAAGTATTGGCTTCAAAGATACAAACTTTTCTCCAAATATGATGAGGGTATTAGAATGGACGAGGAAGGATGGTATTCTGTTACTCCTGAAGAGATTGCAATTGGGCATGCGCATAAGTTTGGTGGGGGACTTGTCATTGACTGCTTTTCGGGTGTGGGCGGCAATGCCATCCAATTTGCTAGATTGTAAGT